CTTTTAATCGCGAACACGTGCGCCGCGCATGCATATTTCATTTCTCTTTTGTACCCGCTGCAAATCACGGTTGCGTTAATTAAGCAGCGTCGGAGCGCGAAAGGAGCCGCGGTCTTCTGAATTTTCATATTTGCCGAAACGACCAGCCCTACACGGAGAGAATATGGCGTTACGAGCGCGCGCGCGTCCGTACGTGCGCCTCTATTGGTTCAACCAGTGACCTAGCTGTTCGCGTTCGCTTGTACGTATTCAAACCCCGTGTGCCATACGAGGACACGTGTGTACGTGCTACCTGCCCGCGTACCTATAGGGTCGGACACTAAAAACTGGCCGTCATATCCCTTCTTGGTTCGATGCTGCGGTGCACATATTACTGGAAATGCAAAAAAAGTGTCGCGAATTATTTCCGTGAACGTCAACCATATATGTAGCCTCTCATTTAATTATGCTTGTACCTCTTCTTAAAATCATTATACCTAGTATCGTATTAACACGTTCCGTGCCACGTGTACCATCGATGGTACACGCTTGCATGTTTACTTAGTGAACTGAACAAATTGTTTACAAGAAATTTAGAACCGAAGAATCAATTTCCATCGCAAGAATGGGCGTTGATAAGTTTTTGTTACGTTGTTATGTGTACGAGAATTAATAATTGCACGTAATACATCAAGTTTTAGTAAAATATCAAAGTGTGAAGATTCGAGTAAAAAATGCTCGGCACGGAACGTGTTAAGAGAGTGTTTCATTTTCTTCAAGGACGAACGCTGCAAGTCACATGTTTCCGTTTTCGAGATATTTTCGCTTAAAGCTCTGACCACTGATGCTTCGTATTAGTAGTGTTTCAAATTGCATAATATTTTTGAGTCTGTAGAATTTAGTTTCCACAATGTTTTTTTTCTGATAAATATGTAAATCCTGTATGCTACAGTACAGACTTGCGGCGTTTTCTCTTATAGTTGCAGAATTTTTATTTTCCCACGATTCTGGTTAAAACTGTGAAAAAATTTGTTACGGAAAGTTTTGCAATTTGACAAAAAGGAATTGCACGGCAATAGCAGACAGAAATTGAAGATACGTTTTTTCTCGAAAATGCTACAAATTGGAACGTGTCTAGAAACATTCGAGGTCTCTTTTTTTGGAACTGAATCGACCATAGATTTGAAGATTATAGCTTCCGCTTTTCAATAATTCCGCGCGCGCGCACACATACGCACACGATTTTTTTAGCTCTATGATGGTACAAAAACGAGGATTAAGTTCGATCGTGAAAATCCCCCGTGGTATACGCCGTATTGTTATAACTTTCGCAGAATATATATATATATATATATATACTTTTAATACAAAGCCGAACAAATTCGCTAGAAAATAATCGTATAACAAATTTTGATCAGTCCGTTGGAAGGAGATACATTAATTTTCAAATCTGTGGTAGATCCAATCACGGAAAACATTCTCCAATAATGGTTTATGGGATGTTTCGATTTCCAATATTTTTCAGCAAAAGTTTCAGAAATTGGGAAATCTTTTCACAGAAAATTGTCGACTGAATTGTACGTGCGATATTTAAATTCAATATTCAACACTACATAGAAGGGTTATATCGTTGATTTGGGCACACATAGCTACCAAAAATCTTGCAATAAAGTGCAGGTGACATTGCAGCCCACCCGACGGTTTTCATCCACACACACACACACACACACAATGAGGGTTACAAATCTTTCTTAAATATGATGAGGGTCCTGAGTAGGGTTTCTATTTTTTATCAGATTGGACTATAAAAAATTCGTAAAATTATAATTGGACTTCTCTTGCGTTGTCACGTTTTTTTTTTACCACATTTTTATATCTACCATCACTGTACATACTACCAGACTTACCCTTCTACACGGGATGAGATTATCTCGACGTGTTGAAAATGTATCGTCTGCTTGGGAGGTTTTGTCTGAATAACGAAAATCCTATTTCCAAATGGTTTTTATGTCTCTGTCACTATTAACAGTTTTCAGGAAAAACATTAACATTTAAGAAAAAATCCTGTGCACTTCCAATACAAAAAAATTGAGGTAATCCAATCCTTAATAAAGTAAACTTTCCTATTTTCTCATGCTATAAAAACAAACTTGCTTCTAATTTCGTCTCATTTTTACGTTAAGATCTTGCCGATATTCGCACTGTTATAATTTCATAAAAACGAGTCGTGCAATAATAAATCTGTTACAAATTCAAACGTCTCTGCCTTCACAATTCATCATAGAACATAGTAGGCGAAAAACTGAAGACATAGTTAACTCGAAAATGGTACAAATTGAAACGTCTCCAAAAACATTGAAAATTCTTTTCATAAATGAAAAGACTAACTGAATCTATTATACATTTGAAGATTGAAGCTCTTTTACGACGACACTTCAAAACTTGGTGTATGATTTTTTCAGTCGGTGTATAAAACAAACGAGAAAAACAAAATCGTACTTTCTATTACTATAAAATAGGTAGAACACCTCCCACTCAAAGCTGAATAGAGTGATTACAAAAATCGTACATTAAAGTTTAAAGGATTGCTCTAAAGAAGAGGCTTCGCTCTTCGAATTCGTGTTTGGATCAGTGACGAAAAAAATTGTCCAATGTATCTCCAGACGTCTGGATCAGCACCATTTCCCAAAACGAGCATGTCTATATTATACAGAGACATGTTACAAAAGAATGAACGATGGACAGCAAAAATAGAAGCTTCAAACTTAAAAAAAATTAGAGCAGTTTAATTTGTTAATCGGAAATATTTCGTCATACCAGGAAAACGACTCCAATGGACATGACGATTGTTTTCGTCATCGAAGTTTTTAGTTTAATTTTTTTAATAAAAATTTAAGATAATGTGAGGAGCGCATTATTACGTTTTAAGTCGTCCTTATTCAGTGTTCGCACATGCACAGTTCAGTTTCAAACTCCATTATAACGTTTTTAATATGTAATACATTAACTAAGGATGTCAGAATATACTAAAGAAAACTGTGTAACAACTACCGGGATATACAGGGTGATTTATGGAACAGTAACAAGCTCCTTTTTTTTGTTCGAGTTAGAAAAAAATGTTACAGGAGAAAGATGAATGGTTTGAAAGGGATCATAATGTGAAATAAATAGTTCTCCCCCGTAGATGGATATGGAAAAATTAAGGTCATGTAGAGATCATCGACATTTTTTTAAATGGATACATACATTTTTTTCGCATATATCAAATTCTTTCTTTATTCTGCGTAAAAATGTGTGACGGTAACATTATTGAAAAATGAATAGTTTAAGTGATTTTTTTTTCAAAATGTCTTGTATCGACTGATTATCGAAGCCGACACTCGAAGGCTTCACTCTAACGGTATGTAAACATTCGTCATTGTTTGTCTTATCGTGAGTATCAAGTCTATTATTAAGTAAAATGTCGTATTCTACTAACAATGAAAGAGTTAATATGTATGATGTGTATGTGGAGTGTAACAAAAATGCGTCTACAGCAGTTCGAGTGTATCGAGAGAAATATTCTGAACGTCGTCAGCTGTCACATACATACTTTTACAGATCAGAGAATAATTTTAAAAAGTATGGTGCATTCATAAAGCCATTGAATTAGTAGGATATGCGTGTACCTTATTTTTTATGTGTCTACATAGGAAAAAATCTAGAGGGTTCAGATCAGACGAATGAGATGGCTGCGGTGTTAGCAAACGTTTATTGAAATACTTGTCGCCATATGTAAATGTAAGGAATTTTGTAACTATGCTTGTACTATACTCGTACACCATCCTGGTGAAAATATTCCAAATTTGATCGAGTTATTCTTTTCTTCCACTATAAAAACAAACAATGATGATATCGCGAATTTACACAGCGTTAGAATGAAGCGTTTGAGTATCGGCTATAAAGACATTTTTTCAAAAAATCATTTAGACCATTCATTTTTCGATAATATTAGCCTAACACTTTTTACATAGAATGAGAAAAGAATTCGATATATGCAAAAAAATGAAGGTATCCATTTAAATTACAGGGTGTCCCAAAAATGTCTCGCAATCCGAAAGTAGGGGATTCCTGAGGTCATTTGAAGCAACTTTTTCCTTAGCGAAAATGCAATCCGCGGCTTCGTTTACGAGTTATTCACGAAAAACAGTGACCAATCAGAGGCGAGATCATTTAGCGCGAGACGGCCGATCCAATGAGCGGAACTGGGCTCCGTGTACTCGTTGGCTGGGCCGCCGCGCGCCAGCCGAGCTCGCTTCTTATTAGTCAGTGTTTTTCGTTAATAACTCGTAAACGAAGCCTCGGAGAACATTTTCGCAAAGGAGAAAGTTGCTTCAAATGACCTCAGGAACCTCCCGTTTCCCGATTGCGAGACATTTTCGGGACTCCCTGTATATGTCGATGATCTTCATGACTCTCACGCGTCCATCTACGGAGAAATTGTTTATTTCATATTATGACCCCTTTCAAACCATTCATCTTTCTTCTGCAACATTTTTTCCTAATTCGAACCATTGTTACTGTTCCGATTTATACATACACTTTCTAGATTTGCCATCAAATATTTTGTTGAAATAAATGATCAAGATTTTTTTTTTGTTACGTCAAGCGTGACAATATAACTTCTCAGATGAGAAGAGAAAAATCCTCAATTGCGAAACGTGTTGAACAAAAGTTATTTTTCCGGTTAACGGGTTAAATATTCGTCGAAAATCGGATATTTAATATGGAGAGACTTTCTGGAGCCGCGTTGTGTATTCATATTCTTGACCTCTCGAAACTGGCTATTCTCTGGTAAGCCAGTAATACGTGTCTCTCAGCCGGGTCTCACAAGAAAATATTAATATGGTCTGCGCGCAAAGCGTGCCATTCTGCATAAACACAGACAGAGACACCAGGCGTAAATACAGACACAGGTACAGACACATATACACGAGTGTATCGCGGTATCCGACTTGTGACGTCAGCTCATTACCCTACAGAGCGCGCCGTACTGCATGAGGAAGGACTCGAGCGATACGCTCACCGGAAATGCGCAGTACGAGGGCTACAGCGTCGACTTGATTTACGAGATATCGAGAATCCTCGGCTTCAATTACACATTCCGGTTGGTGCCGGACGGACGGTACGGGTCCTACAACAAGCAGACGAAAGAGTGGGACGGGATGATGAAAGAATTGCTTGATCAGAAGGCGGATCTGGCGATCGCCGATCTCACCATCACGTACGATCGGGAGCAGGCGGTCGACTTCACCATGCCGTTCATGAACCTGGGTGAGCGATCTGTTTAATCAGGGGGTACGCTTTGATCCCGCTTATTGGCCCCGAGGATTGATTTAATGACGACTCGCCTCTGGCTTCCCCTGATTTCTGAAAATAGAAAAACCATTCGTGCTGGGAATCCTGTGGCTCGTGGAGACTCTAGGGGTGGATTCCGCTAGCATGGAAATTCAATTGCGATGAAATTTGTGATCCGAGGAAATCGTGCTTGTTTCAGACAGACCTCTGCGCTGAAATTATCGCGATCAATTTCAAAAAAAAGGAACTAGTTGCGCACATCGAATTAGAAAATATTTCGAGTTATTGGACCGCATCTGAGGTTCTTAGAAACGGGACGAGCATTGAACGTGCGCAAAAGTTTCTTGTCAATAAATACATCGTATTGTCTTATTAAAATGAATCTCTTTGCATCGGTACCTAGTCGTCATTATTTTCAATGGCTATCAAGGTTGTTTAAATTGTTACACGTACTATTAATCAAATATGTATATTGATCTAGTAGCGGGACGTACTATTGGGTTGGCAACTAAGTAATTGCGGATTTGTTCAATGAAATAAAAAATTTTTTTACTTGGAACGAAGTTGAATCTGTAATGTATTTTCCATTTTGTTCGATGACCTTTTGCCATCTCTCTGACAACTTGAAAATTCCACGCTCGTAGAAAGTCTGGTCCTTTTCGGCCAAAAACTGAGTTAAGTGAGATTTTACAGCGTCATCATCATTAAAAGTTTTACCACGAAGGGAGTTGTCCAGGGATCGAAATAAGTGGTAATCCGATGGCGCGAGATCAGGGCTATATGGTGGGTGTAACATCAATTCCCAACCAATATCCATCAATTTTTGCCGAGTGGACAAAGACGTGTGGAAAATGACACCTTTACGATTGACCAATTCTGGTCGCTTTTCCTTGACCGCTGCATTCAATTTGTCCAGTTGCTAACATTCACGGATAATATAATAATAATAATAATAATAATAATAATAATAATAATAATAATAATATAATATTTACGGATATCATAAAAATGGGAGTGAGAGACATCTATAACTGAAATCGGCAATTACTTAGTTGCCAACCCAATAGTTGCACTATTTCGTGTATACAGGGTGTCCCAGGTTTTAATGTTCAAACTTTGTCAGTGTATTCTATGGCACAAAGTAAGAAAAATATGTTATGTAAACATAGGCCATACAGAGCTTTATTAAGAAGTTATAACAAAAATTCAGAATAGGAATAGTAATCAACTTGCTGTTACTGCGAGCATTGGCTTGAATAGGTCAGCACATGCCGTGTGCTTATGTAAGCTATGTTTATTAATACATTGCGAAATGTCTACCGTTGTTGACAATATATGATTGACATCGATCGAAGATCGAATTTATGACCGTGCGAATTTCGTTTCTATTCTCTTTCATTTCATTGTGAACGAATTTTTGTTATAACTTCTTAATAAAATTCTATATGACCTATGTTTACATAACATTTTTTCCTTACTTTGTGCCAGAGAATATACTGACAAAGTTTGAACATTAAAACCTGGGACACCCTGTACAGTGATATTCGTATTCGCACTAGGAATGCGTTCCAAATGTTTTTTCCTTTAGCAAAATCATAACGGTATTATTGTGGAAACCGATTCATTGTTATTCATTTGTTCGAGGACATATTGCGATGAAAACCGTGTGAAATATTGCTGAACACGTGTCTGCGATTTGATAAAGAATTTAAGGGGATATTCTAGTATGAAGTGCGTGTGTTTTGCATAGAAACTATTATACCTTTTGCAGTCAAATTGACAAGGTCTATTTCTACCTATTTCAACAACGTTTAAAAGTGTTTTAGAATAATAAAAAGGTTCAATTAGTGGCACTGCATACTTTCAAATATAAGGTCGTCTCACAGTGTCCATGATCGCGATCTCATTCTGCTTGTCTGAAATAAAAATACCTGAATGTTCCTTCATTAATAGGAATTTGACTATAGCAAGTATTATAACCAAAGAAAAAAGTCGGTAATTAAAGAGTCGGCGATATTTTGAAATTTTCGATTATCGATTTTTGTATGTTTTGTTAAACTTCGGGAGCTTAAAAAATGGAAAAAATTACAAATTTTTGGTGCACACTTAAAATTTTTCGTGAATCAGTCAAGTAGCTTTTGAGATATCATGGACACCGTTCTAAAAAACATAGTTTCCACAAAAATGCCTTTAACACGTTGACTGCCGCGTCACCCGTATTCGGGTGACAGCAAAAGTTCTCATCAGGCCACGTCACCCGTAATTCGGGTGACGCTGATTTGACTACTTACAAAGGATTTCCGAAAATATTTCGACAAATATTCTACAGGAGGTAATGAAACTATTGAATTCTTATAAAAATGGTTTATTGAAAAAATTATTCGCAGTGTATAACATTAAACCATTCTCTGCAAAGTTGAGATTGATCAGGACAGCTTGGACAAAAAGTTGTTTGTTTTTTCAGATATGCTCGTGCCTCTGATCGGTCCATTTCGTGTCTTTTATTTGAACTATAGCTTCCTCAGTATCATCAACGTTTCTTTCTTCTTCCATGACCAATTCTCGTAAAATCTCGTCAATAGTATCTTCATAGCATTCATTATCACTAAGATTATATTTATCAGTATCCAAATCAGAATCTGACGATGTAATTTTATTTATGCTTCTCCTTCCGGGCAATCCGATCTCTTTTCATTATTGAAAAAAAATAAGGGCAGAGATTTTAAGTTATACCATTCGGTACTCGGCAAAGATTCCAACTGTTCATGCAGGAACAGAAATAGATACGAATTAACAGCGCACGCTTCCTATAGCGGCACGGGTGGCCTGTAGGAGATTTTGTTGTAAATACGCGTTGCAGTCAACGTGTTAAAGTTTGGTATATCGATAATGATATACGGTAGAACCCTCTTAACCCGAGAAAGATAACCTACGTCGCAGAGGCGCCTGCGAAATAAACAACTGACTGCACCGTGGATGACGCAAAGACTGGAAGCACCCACTTTGCCAAGGCATGTGCGAAGCAACATTGAAAATATTCTTCCAAAATCTGCTGTACAGGCTTCCACAGATGATGAAGAAGAACCCTCGGCCAAAAAAAGGCGTTATTGCAGTCTTTGCACGTCTAAAAAGAAAAGAATGTCAAAGATGACCTGTGCCAAATGCAAAAAGACAGTTTGTGGTGAACACAAGAAAGACGTTTGTCATGACTGTCTCTAAAGAAATTTTTTATAGTATTATAGTTTTTTTTACACTGATTATATTATAGTCTACTNTTTTTATAGTATTATAGTTTTTTTTACACTGATTATATTATAGTCTACTAGTTTGTAAGGATAAAACACTATTTTTTGTGATATTTTACGGGATTTGTTCCCATAAACCGACGACTGTTGATTTTTGTTAATTTTTCATAGAGGTCTAGTGATTTAAGTTTAAAATTACTTAAAATATAAAAGAATATAATATAAATGCATTTTATTTTTACAATAATGCCAAACCTTTAAAATGACTAGATTAACTTAAATAAATATCCATTGTTAGTATAAAATTGACGCCTTAGAAAAGCATGCGCCTCTGAAGCGTATGGTTATCTTTTACGTAC